TCGCCAATTGGTGCACCATTTATCCCTTCCGGTGGCTATAGATGTGTGCATCTCTGCTTTTGCATTCCTTGATAACATCTGTAATGGCAACGAGGCCAGAGGGGCTGCATAAACTTAATCTGATTTATGCAAGTGATTGACTCGGGCCCAGTGTTGCTAAACAAGCAGAGGTGACGGCGACAGATGGCGTCTGTCGTCGCAGACGCGTCTGTGGTGACGCAACGGCACAGCCGGCCGCCACCCTGCCCTGGCTGGCTGTCACATCGCCCCAGCTGGGCGCCGCCCCCGCCCCCGACCGGCCGCCACACCGCCCCTATCGGCCGCCACCCCCGCCCCCGACCGGGCCGCCCACACCGCCCCTATCGGCCGCCACCTCGCCTCCGGCCGGGCCGCCACCCCGCGCCCAGCCGGCCACCGCCCCACCACCAGCCGGCAGCTACCCCGCCCCGGCCGGCAGCTACCCCGCCACCGGCCGGCCGCCACCCTGCCCTGGCCGGCTGTCACATCGCCCCCAGCTGGGCGCCACCCCGCCCCCCGACCGGCCGCCACACCGCCCCTATCGGCCGCCACCCCGCCCCCGACCGGCCGCCACACCGCCCCTATCGGCCGCCACCTCGCCTCCAGCCGGCCGTCACACCGCCCCTATCGGCCACCACCCTGCCCTGGCCGGCTGTCACACCGCCCCGAGCTGGGAGCCACTCCGCCACCGGCCGGCCGCCACACCGCCCCTATCGGCCGCCACCTCGCCCCCCGGCCGACCGCCACCCCACGCCCAGCCGGCCACCACCCCCCCCCCCCCCGGCCGGCCGCCACCCCACCACCGGCGGCGCGCCTCGGTGCGCCGCCACATGGATGGATGAGCCGGGCAAGGCTGCGGCCGGTGGCCACCCGGCCTGGCCGCCTTCCAGCATCGGTGACACGCGCTGGACGGCGTGCCTGGCTGTGTTCTAAGCTGAACTGTATCATACTGAATGTGTCGGACTCTGGGAGCAGCAGACATCATTACCGGCGCTAGGTGAAAATATCAAGTTCGTTTTCGGATTTCGGTTCCAGTTTACTCAGCGTCTATCCGCGTTACGCTCCTGGACAGACGATCAGTTTGGATCAGCAGCAGCGTTGATGGTTACGCTTCAGACAGCCCCTCTTGTCATGTCTGGTTTGTTTAGCACAGCTGGCCCCGTAAGCGTGAAGCCAACAGTGTGCAGTGGAGCCAGCAGTCGACAGTGTCACACCGCCAGTGATCATTGCGTCAGCGATCAGTGTCACACCGCCCGATGCATACCCAGTGCAGTCATTAAGACCTTTGCTCTTCAGTCCAGCCAGCTGCAGCTTAGATTTAGGTCGCAAGAAACGCTAGTGATGAAGCCGTTTTATCCGTCCGCAGCATACCACACAGCTGCACGCTTGTGCCGGGATAGCGACCGAGAGATAATCAAGGATGATCAGCGGGAATGCTGGGATGTCATCGGAAATGTCGTTCCGTTGCACGAACAACGAACATGATCTGGGGGATTCGGTGGTGGGAACCGATATCCCCCGTAAATTTTCAGGCCATGGCCGGGAAATAGGTTTTGACAAAAGAAAAAATAATGGCCAGCGATCGCAGAAACCTGCAACGATAATAGGTAGGAACTTAGTATGCTGTTATGTGATGGCACTATGAGCTTCTCGCCTTACTGTAATGTTCGCGTAGAAAACGGCACCGCAAAGAGAATGTGGCTGATCCGGCGGAAAACATGGCTGATTTTTAGCAATGAATTGATACATACACACACACACACACACATATATATATATATATATATATATATATATATATATATATTCCATGGTCAGCAAAGGACAAACCCGCCATGAATTCGACAGTGGTGGCAGTATATGAATATCGGCATGATAAAGCGGAGGAGGTGGGAATGCCAATTTCTCATCAACCTACCTATTTAAAGAGGTGTATTGGGTTTTTGGACCGTGTGAACACCCTTAGTCATGTCACAGTCAGGGGTCTTTTAAGTCATCAGATTCATCAGCAAAAATTAATTCTGACCAAGGTCATTGCATTGGTTGTCTCATAAAACATACTAGGTATTAGGTCCCAGATGGTCTTCACTCTTGCAAAAGCTATTGGGTTCCTTGTCAGGTTGTCTATTATTTTAAGACATGTATCTCTAACATTCACAGCAGAACACGTCAGTGGAAACGGCCGCGAAGATGTTTTTCTTTTGACGTTTTCATACTCGAGCTCTACTCCCGTGCCCGGTGCGACGCCGGCGACTCTGCCCTCGGAGTGTTGTCAGCCCTGATCCTCATCCCCAGGACGGCTCCAGATGTCTGTTCCCAGAGCGGTCCCAACTCCCTGTCCTCAGAACGGCCCCAGATCCTGTCCCCAGAACGGTCTCAAATCCCTATCCCCAGAACGACCCCAGATCCTGTCCCCAGAACGGCGGCAGATCCCTGTCCCCAGAACGGTCCCAGATCTCTGTCCTTAAACGGTGTCAACCACGTCACTGTGCGCGGAGCGGTGCCAGTTTGGATTTCTGTCTCCACAACGGTAGCGGTTTTGATTTTATCTTCAAAGCGGCGCCAGCTCTGTCCCCGCCCCGGGAGCGGCGACAGCTCCGTCCTCCTCGGGGAGCGGCGCCAGCTCCGTCCCTCCTCGGGGAGCGGCGCCAGCTCCATCCCAGTTTCAGGAGTGGCACCAGCTCCGTCCCCGCCCAGGGAACGGCGCCAGCTCCGTCCCCATCCCCAAAGAGCGGCGCCAGTACCTTCCCAGTTTCGGGAATGGCGCCAGCTCCGTCCCCGCCCCGGGAGCGGCGCCAGCTCCTTCCCTCCTCGAGGAGCACCGCCAGCTCCGGCCCCGCTCAGGGAGTGGCGCCAGCCAGTTCCGGGCGCGGTCGCAGCTCGCCGCAGCTATCGTGCAGCGGCGGCCGGGCGGGGTCCGCCCGCCGGTCCTTGCCGGTGTGCCCCGTGTTTCCCACGGTGGACGGGGTGGCCCGCCCGACAGTCAGTCCGCCACAGCGCCGGCGGTGGAGTCGCGGCCGCGCCGGTGGACAGCAGGACCAGGCCGGTCACGCCCGGCCGTGGGCCGGGCCCAGCTCGGCCCCCACAGACGGCTGCCGGACGGGCGTGGCGTCTCAGGTGTGGAGTACTGACCTGACTCTCGGGTACAGCTTAGCCACGGGTGAGCAGCCACGTGTGGAACACTGGCCTGGCTGGGAAGCGGTTGGCAGACGACTGTCACCGGTCATATATCTAGCTACTCTTACATGAACTGGTCTTTACCTCAAACCATGATTATCTCGAATATCTACCTGAATCATGGCATTCTGCCGAGCCTGGTGTCCCAATCTTCCCGTGACTCTCTCCCTCCCCCCTCCCCCCCCCCTGCTCGTCCTGAACTGCACCTCGCCGCGGGCCAGAGCGTTGTTGCCCGCTACCAGAGCGCGACTGCGTGACGTAGATGCGGCGATCGTATCTTGCTCCGCCAGCAACCGCCTCCAGTAAACTCAGATTGCTATTCATGAGCACATGTGAAAGATGAAAATTGCAGCATTCCGCCAACGCATTTCTAAAGGATGTGTTTCGGAATGTGTAGGAGGGATAACAAATGGCTCAAACTCTGAACGCAGACCAACAAAACAGACCCTCCCTGCTTGTATCCCGAACCCGCCTGGCTGGCGGACTAAGCAGACCCTTCCTGCTTGTATCCCGAACTCGCCCGCCACGCAGTGCCATTCCAGTGCAACGAATGAGACTGACGCCGTCCCGTTGACTCGGCGGTTCACGGACACATCTATGTTCGCCATGCAATGTTTAACAGGGATGGCGGCCCTGACGTCTCGGCCAAAGGGCAGGTAGGTAAGGCGATGGCCCCAACTCTGCACGGAACGAAGCCATTCATCCATGGCGTTGCAAAGCTTGGATATTCCGGCGGGATACGTGCATTACGTAAGTATCTTGTTGCCCTGTCCCTTGGTCGGCCTCTGACAAGGTGACCTGACCACTGGCCGGTGACGTCACGGGGTGACCTGATCACTGACCAGTGACGTCACGGAGTCACTTGACCACTGGGCAGTGACGTGGCGAGATGACCTGACCGCCGACCACGGACGCCGTGCCGAGGTCGCGGTCGGCCTCGACCGCCACCGCCGCCGCCGCCGCTGGGGGGAGAAAGTGTCGGCGGCGGGTGCGCGCGCGCGCGCCGCCCGCCGCCAGTGCGCCGCCGACAGCCGCGCCGCGCAGTGAGAGTGAGCTGGCCGCCGGGCACGCCGCACGCCGTCGCTCCTCGGAGCAGAGTGCCTGGGTCCGCCGGCAGGCACGCGCCGGGGACACGCCACCTCCGTCAGCACCGCGAACTGAGGACCGGCTCGGGAGAGCAGAGTGTGATAGCTATTGATCGGGTCCGCGGGGAGAGCGGCCTGCGGTTCGGGACAGCGGTCGAGGTCTGCCTGGATTCTGTCGTCAGGTGAGGAGCAGCGTCCCGCACGTGGCTCCACTCTGCCACCGATGCTGATGGTCGGGGTGCTGTACCGCTGGCTGGCTGCTGTCAGAGCAGGCGACGCCACAGACTTCGCAAACGCTGTGTGATCCAACGTCGGCCTGGCGGTGGGCTGCTTGTTTTCGCAATAAGTGATGCTGACCATCGCCTGTGAGCGCACGCGAGAACAGCATCGCTCTGCCGTACGGCTGCTTGCATAAGTCAGGGCCCGGCTCGTGCAAGGCCAGGACTCTGGACGGAGTCTCTCCGATCCCGACTCTGTGTGTTGGCGTATCCTGCGGAGGGGGCGGATCAGTACTGTTTGGTTGTGCGGACAGATTCTGACGGCATCGCGGGCGACGCGTATGCTCTGAGTCCGCGCCACGGCAAACGGTGTGTCGCTTAAAATATCTTAGATCCCAGGTCCAGGCGGTAGGATAACATATCTATAAACGTGCATCCGGCTGGTCATTTGGGGGAAAGTAGATGTGTTTCGCGGCCAAGTCGTGTGACGTTGCCGTGCAGCACGGTAGTTGATCAGATAATCCGCGCCCGAATCTCAGCGGAACTTCCTGCGCGGGAGGTTTTCCTGCTGATTGGACGCAGCCGGGGGCGCAGCGGGCCCCGCCGACCGTCGTGTCTACCGTCGCCTCCAGTGCACGGGCCGAGCTTGTTTGCACACGGCCGGCCCGGCCGTAAATAGACGTGTGGGACGGACTCCCGCCGAGCCCGGGCACAGCCGTCCGGGCACAGCCGTCTCTCGGAGGCGGCTGCCGAGCCTCGGCATCCGCCGGTCCGGGCACGGCCGTCTCTCGGAGGCGGCCGCCGAGCCCCGGCATCCGCCGGTCCGGGCACGGCCGTCTCTCGGAGGCAGCCTCCGAGCCCCGGTATCCGTCGGTCCGGGCACGGCCGTCCCTTGGAGGCGGCCGCCGAGCCCCGGCATCCGCCGGTCCGGACACGGTCGTCTCTCGGAGGTGGCGCCACGGCATCCCCCGGTCCGGGCACGGCCGTCCCTTGGAGGCGGCCGCCGAGCCCCGGCATCCGCCGGTCCGGGCACGGCCGTCTCCTGGAGGCGGCGCCACGGCATCCGCCGGTCCGGGCACGGCCGTCTTTTGGAGGCGGCGCCACGGCATCCGCCGGTCCGGGCACGGCCGTCTCTCGGAGGCGGCCGCCGAGCCTCGGCATCCGCCGGTTCGGGCACGGCCGTCTCTCGGAGGCGGTCGCCGAGCCCCGGCACCCGTCGGTCCGGGCACGGCCGTCTCTTGGAGGCGGCCGCCGAGCCCCGGCACCCGCCGGTCCGGGCACGGCCGTCTCCTGGGGGCGGCACCACGGCACCCGCCGGCCCAACCGCAACCATCTCTCGGAGGCGGCCGCCGCACTGCGACGCGCGCCCCATTCGGGCAGACTGCTCTCTGACAGCTGGTATGTGCTGGTATGTGACGACAGAGAATCACAACAACTAACGGCCTTCAAGCTCTTCTGCATTTAGCAGCCACCGGCACACGCTACGACGGTCTCAAGGCAATAGTTTCACGACATATCCCACTGTGCAATGACCCAAGGGAGACTCATATGCCTGATCAGCTGACACCAAGAGTTTGACAACCATGGAAAAATCGAGGCTGACCTAACTCTTTCGGTCAGGGACGACTGGAACCCGTCGGGCTGCTGTTCTGTTTTTGCTGGTGCTGTCAGCGCGATTATCTGCGCCCTTGGCACCGACCTGCCGGCATTCGTCGGTCTGCGAGGCGACGGTCGATGCCGCTATCTGCGGCGCCGAGCGAGCCCGGCTCTGCACGGCGCACTATCGGAGGCCGTCTGGTGACGGCCGTGTGATGACGGCCGGGTTGATAAACCGCCCGGTGATGAGCGCCCGGTGATGACCGCCAGGTGATACCTACCCGGTGATGACCACCAGACGAGCATACCTTGGCTCGTACCGTAACGCCTCGGTGCCTCGCTCCGCATGGCGAGTGGCTGTGTACCGGTCGGCCCTCGCGGGCTGTGCTGAGAGCGCGTCGCTCTGGACGGTGTCGCTCTGGAAGTTGTCGCTCCGGACGGTGTGGCTATGAACGACGTCGCTCTGGACAGTGTCGTTCTAAACGTTTTTCTGGGCAGCGTCGCGCTGGAACGTTCGCCCCAGAAGGGCCGTTCTGAACGTTGTCGCCCTGGACGGGTTGCTTTGGGCGCTGTCGTTTTCGACGTTGCCCTTCCGAACGTTGCCGGTCTGGGGCGTCTTGCTTTGAATGGCTTCGCTCTGGAAGACGTCACTCACCATGGTGTGACTTGAGATGGTATCGCTCTGGATGCCGTTGCCTTCAATGGTATCGCCCTGTGGCGCATCGCCCTGGAGCGTGTCGCCCTGCGGCGTGTCGCCCTGGAGCGTGTCGCCCCGTGGCGTGTCGCCCTTGAGTGCGCCGCCCTGGAGCGTATCGCCCTGGAGCGTATCGCCCTGTGGCGTGTCGCCCTGGAGTGCGCCGCCCTGGAGCGTGTCGCCCTGGAGCGTGTCGCCCTGGAGCGTGTCGCCCTGAAGCGTGCCGCCCTGGCACGTGTCGCCCTGGACGGTGCGCCCATCAGCCGGTCAGCCTGAGCGGCAGACGGACCTCGTGCGTCGCGCCTCACTGTTTACATACCCGCCTGGCGATGGCAGCAGGCGCGCGGCCGGTTCACGGAACCCGAGCGCCCGGCGGTGCCATGTGTGTCACACCACGTGCACCGTCTGCCGAGGACGCGCCAGGCGGCGCCGGTGCGTGGCGTCCGTCGGGCGCCGGCTCCTGCTCCGCTCCGCAGCGCACGGCGCCCGGTGTCGCCCATTACTGCCGCTGATCATCCTCGGCCGTGAGCGGCGCTGGCTGTACCAGGCTGGGCTGACGTCATTCCTGAAGACCAGCGGCCGCTTAGCCCGTCCCGTGTGTGTGCGGCGCAGGACCGCAGCTCAGGCAGAAGCTCCTTGTTGCTGGGATTAGGTACGGGTATGGCGTGTGAGCTCTGGAGATAACAGGCGCTCCTCCAGGAGGTGACATGGTCTGTAAAGTTCGCGTGGGGCCAGCGGATGTTGTTTTTGGAGGGTACTTCAGGCCCGTGCATCGTGTCCTTCAATGTGACTTCCGCCAGATCATGCCCAATTAGTCTGTTTTGATTGATGCGAACCTTTTCGAATGCGCAATGCCTAAATAGCTGATATCTCGACACACAAACTGCTAATTAATTAAACCCCAAGCTGGAAAACAAACAACGTAACCATGTTTAACAAAACGGGGTGCCGAATATTCACTCGTTTATTACGATTAACGCCAACGCCACTTTCTAACAATCCCGGCCCGCAGTGTTAGTGCGACGGGCAGATGGCTGGCGCTGCCATCCCGCGGCTGGACCGTTGCACCTCCGCCCCGCCCGGCCGAGCAGAAAAACAAACAGCGCGCGTCCCATAAACAGCGCGCGGCTAAGGGCGAGCCCGTCGGCGCCGCTGCACGCGAGCACCGCTCGAGAGGTGGCGCTGGTGATGTCCGCCGACCTGACGTACCTGACCTCGCACCTGACGGCGCCACAGGGTGCGTCTGACCAAGTCCCCGACATGATACACCTGATGAGGTCACCAACCTGATATATCTGACGAGGCCCCGCGTTCGGTCCGGTGCGCTCCGGGAACAGCCACGTTCGGTCCGGCGCACTCCAGGAGCAGCCACGGCCTCTTTTTAAGCGCGATTGGTTTTTGCAGGCTTCGGCTCTCACCTCGCGCGGCACTTCGCTGTCAGGAGAGACAATCCAAAACGCCTCTCCTGCCTGACAGCAGTCTCCTCTCGGAACGGGGACAGGGGGCCTTTCGCCCCCCTCCCCCGACATGCCCAGGAGCTATGAGCAGCACGCCACAGTGGCCTATTGGGCGCTTCCCCTGAGCGAGCGCCTGTCCACGCATGGCTCCTCCCTGCCCTTACGGTAGCCGTCACGCGGTGTGTCGGGCGGACGGCAGCCGTGGCTGCGCTGCCAGCCCGCCGCCGCAGTGCGGACCGCTACCCAGCAGCGCACGCCATCTACGAGTCATGCCGCGTGAACCAGGCAGTTAGCTTCAGTCACGCTGCGTGAGCCAGGCAGATGGCTTCAGTCACGCTGCGCGAGCCAGGCAGTTGGCTTCAGTCCACCGCGCGAACCGGATACCGTCTCGCGTCAGAGGGATCAAAGAGCCGCCGTGCATCTGATCAGCAAATTTGCGTGTATGTTGCTTGGACTGTGCTTAATGACTTCCTGAGGAGCCATGAAGATGAAAGCCGTGGGCTCGTAGACGGGGGCTGCGAAGAGCAAACAGTTTGGGGCGGCCCTGGCCTTCCGAGCTGGTACGCCCGCGGGCCGGGACCCCTCCCCCCCGCACGACGCTGGCGCCGGACACTGCGTCCCCCCGTCCCCCCCCCCGTCGAGGTGCACACGAGGGTCGGACCGTCGGCTTTGCGCGGTGGCTGCCGTCTGGGACACGATCGGCGCGCCCAGGTGTAGGGCCGTCCGGTGCCGCGGTCAGTCCGCTGCCGTCTGGTGCGTCCGGCGCCGTCCGCCCCCGGCACCCACGGCCGGCCTCGCCGCGTGCCAGCGCCCAGGGTGTCGGGCCGTCCGGTGCCGCGGTCAGTCTGCCGCCGTCTGGTGCGTCCGGCGCCCGTCCGTCCCCGGCACCCACGGCCGGCCTCGCCGCCTGCCAGCGCCCAGGTGTCGGGCCGTCCGGTGCCGCGGTCAGTCCGCCGCCGTCTGGTGCGTCCGGCGCCGTCCGCCCCCGGCACCCACGGCCGGCCTCGCCGCGTGCCAGCGCCCAGGTGTCGGACCGTCCGGTGCCGCGGTCAGTCCGCCGCCGTCTGGTGCGTCCGGCGCCCGTCCGCCCCCGGCACCCACGGCCGGCCTCGCCGCGTGCCAGCGCCCAGGTGTCGGGCCGTCCGGTGCCGCGGTCAGTCCGCCGCCGTCTGGTGCGTCCGGCGCCGTCCGCCCCCGGCACCCACGGCCGGCCTCGCCGCCTGCCAGATGGCTCGGCTGCCTCAGAGGCCGATCGCCGACCCACTGACCTCCCCCCCCCCCGTAAGGTCATCTGTGGTGACAGTCGTCCACCGGTGTGTGTTCAGGTGCAGTAACCTACGCGTGCACCAAGTGTGGTACTTGCTTGCGGGTCACCTGCCGACCTGCAGAGCGCGTACGCTCATTGGTGCCTTGGTTTGTCCACAGAGTGTATGTCAGGCTATGGCGGAATTTGTTCGTATGATGGGTGTTTGGTGGCGCTGAAGCTTGTCCACGGAGCGAGCCGTGGCACACTTATTCGTGCAGACCATAGCTAGAGCGACTTCTGATCAGGCTCGGCTCGCGCTCGAAGACCAATGTCGTTTTCACCTATAACAGGTGTTGGTTTTCACAGTAGTGTGGCGATGTTACATCTTCACCACAAAAGGAAGAAGAAAGAGCGTCCGTTGATATTCCACAAACATTCTTTCACCCTGTACTGACCCAATAGCCACGATTCTGTGCGCTTGCTCAGATAAGATGCACCTATGTGTAGTATGCTTACCGAAACACACACACACACACACACACACACACACACACACACACACACACACACACACACACACACACACACACACACACACACACACACACACACACACACATATATATATATATATATATATATATATATATATATATATATATATATATATATATATGAATACATACCATTTGAATGTGGGATGTCTCGTATCCCGCATTCATTTACTTTGAACACGACCGCCTCGCGCCGGGCCCGTTCCATCGCGCCCTCGCGTCCTGAGCACTCGTCCCCGTGCCCCGGCCGCCCCTGTGCCCCGAGCGTCCCTGTGCCCCTAGCAACCCTGTGCCCTGAGCGTCCCTGTGCTCTGGGCGTCCCTGTGCCCCGCCCCCCCCCCCCCCCCCCCAGCATCCGTCTTCGCCGACTGCGTAGCAGTGAGCTCACTCTGGCAGCTGGCCCGACCGCTGGTGAGTCAGAGCTCCCACGGCGCCCGGTGCGGGTGGCCAGGCGGCCAAGCTATCAGGCGGTGCCCGGCCGTCGAGTCAGACCCACCAGGAGTCCTCCGGCGGCCGAGCTACCAGACGGTGCCCGGCCGTCGAGTCAGACCTACCAGGGGTCCTCCGGCGGCCGAGCTATCAGGCGGTGTCCGGCCGTCGAGTCAGACCTACCAGGGGTCCTCCAGTGACCGAGCTATCAGGCGGTGTCCGGCCGTCGAGTCAGACCCACCAGGAGTCCCCCGGGGGCCGAGCTATCAGGCGGTACCCGGCCGTCGAGTCAGACCTACCGGGGGTCCTCCAGTGACCGAGCTACCAGGCGGTGCCCGGCCGTCGAGTCAGACCCACCAGGGGTCCTCCAGTGACCGAGCTATCAGGCGGTGCCCGACCGTCGAGTCAGACCCACCAGGAGTCCTCCGGGGGCCGAGCTATCAGGCGGTACCCGGCCGTCGAGTCAGACCTACCGGGGGTCCTCCAGTGACCGAGCTACCAGGCGGTGCCCGGCCGTCGAGTCAGACCCACCAGGAGACCCCGGCGGCCGAGCTATCAGGCGGCCACCGGCCGTCGAGTCAGACCCATTAGGAGTCCTCCGACGACCGAGCTACCAAGCGGTAGTCACCGGCTTGAACTCGCCGGTATCTCCGTTCGCCTTGACCAGCGGCGCTCATGAACGACAGCGTCAGTGGTCGATCCAGTTAGTGTGGGAAAGAAGCAAGGGCGTGCGGTGTTGACACGCCACGAAGTGGTCGGCGGTTCCCTGGGTTGTGTAGACCAAGATATTTGCTTCCCAGGATAAGTGACCACTGTTGACAGGCATGGTACAAGCACTGATACAGTGTGTACATGAATACACTCCACGGGCGCCGTCTTAGTACTTGCGTAGATCATGAGCCGACTTATTTTGAGACAGAACATCACGCTTTTAATAAACCCGCAACGAGAACACCGTCTTTGCTATCTAGCATGTTTGAGTGAAAATGGCGGCTTATATCCGCGTAATTGCATTTGCTGGTGTCGAAGAGAAGACAGGTGTAGCCGCCATTGCACGTGACAACACTCCGTAAACGATGTTTGCTTGTAAATTGTAGCTGCCCATGGCTCCTCCCTCTGGCTTATAGTTCCAGGTTTGCTGTTCTACTCCATCCTCCGATGCTAGTGCAGTAGCTACGGCGAAGTAGCCACCAGTACAGTAACCCCCTGTGCGGTGTCTCAATGTCACCTGATCATCGTTCCGCCACCTCATGACGCACGTACCCACGTCCGCTTTTAGCGTCGCTTTCTCTTCTGCGGACCATGCAGAGGAAAACCAAGACAGAGGCGGTCGACCGCTCCTACGCTGAGTGCGGGGCGCCCTGCAGGTGGCCATATTGTGGGCAGCCGTTCGGATGCGTGACAACCTCACACAAACTATGCGTCCGAATGGACTGAAATTTGTGCAGTCTCAATTAAAATCCTGACACAGTTGACCATCTGCTGCTGGAGCGAATCTGGCTAAGTAGATGGGTAATCATGCTGGGTAAACCTAGCATTCATTTGCAGTTAGTCTACCTACCTGCTGTTGGCACTAATTGGGTTACATTATCATACATTAGTTTCCTTTCCTCTAATCGCACTCTATCTTTAAGCTTGGTAGAAACGTTCAGCGATATTCCATGGCCTGCATTAGCGTTGACAGGGCGGTGTGATTTTAAGTGGGTTTGAGGCTCAGACTGTGCGTGACATAGCATATCTAGAGCCCAAGTGTCCCACGCCGTGGACAGACCAAACGCCAATCAGCGAGTGTCCCGCAGCGGCGGGACGACTACAGGACATGCGTCGACCGGCAGCGTCGGCGCGGGTCCTACAGTTGGGGCATGCTCCAGCTATAAACAATACAAGAGCGGCCCTCCCTGGGCGCAGAACAGTACCCGTGCTGGACATCCCCGGTCAGCGGCCGTCCCGCGCCGACCAGCACCCGTGCTGGATGCCCCGGTCGGCGGCCGTCCCTGGGCGCAGACCAGCACCCGCGCTGGACACCCCGGTCAGCGGCCGTCCCGCGCCGACCAGCACCCGTGCTGGATGCCCCGGTCGGCGGCCGTCCCTGGGCGCAGACCAGCACCCGCGCTAGACACCCCGGTCGGCGGCCGTCCCTGGGCGCAGACCAGCACCCGTGCTGGACGCTGCGGTCAGCGGCCGTCCCGCGGGCTGCTGCCGCGGTCGGTCGACGGCGGGCGTTTCCCCGGTCACCGGCGGACCTCTCGGGCGTTCGCTGGGCAGGCGTGAGCCCAGCAGCCGTGGCCGGAGTTGATTACCACCGCAGGCACGGGAGAGGCCGGGGACCGAGGCCCGCTGTTGCGCAACCGGCCTCGGCGCAGTCGTTCAAACTGACCGCCACTAACCGGCCGCCGGCCTTGCTTCCCCAGAGACTGCGGCGGAGGCGTGCCGAGCCGTGCAGTGTCACCAGCGGCGGCGGCCTGCCCCAGCAGCGGTGCCGCCGATGGACATGCAGCAGCGCTTCGGCCCCTGAGTCACCGGCCGGGTCAGCATGAGGCAGGCCCGGTGGACGCCGCCGGCCCTGCTGGCGGCCGCTACCGTCTGTATCGTCGCTGTCAAAGGTGAGTAGCTGGTCCGTGACCCGGCCCAGACCTCGGCCCCGCTCACGGGGCGACGGCGGCTGGTCAAGCTGCAGCGGCACTCCGACCGCGAACCACGAGCCGGCGTGCCATGATCAGCCGTGAGAGCGGCCTGACCGGCCGCACCTGCCTCCGGCGAGACAACTGCACCGCTCAGGGGGCCGGAGTGAGATCGCTTGCCGCGAGTGCATTAATGCAACGGCGCCGGAGCCCGCCAGGAGAGATTGGGGGCAGGTCGGGACGTCGGCCGGCCGGCGCTGGCGCCTCAGTCACGCGCCAGACCGGTCACGCTACGCTGGATGTCACGCCAGAGCAACAGCGTGGATACTCGCCGAGGTCTGTCAAGCCGTTATCGTCCGATGGATGATGTGAAAATCGTGGACATGGTGGACGCAGTATGTAGCTGACGAGTTATGTGAGCATCTGTGAACACGACAATGCCGACTAAAATGCCTCGTGTGAGAGGGAGAGGGAAGCGGAGAGGCATACGCGGATACCGGGGGAAACGACAGGGAAAGGGAAACAGAGACAGAGAGAGGGAGAGAGGGAGAGGGAGAGGGAGAGAGAGGAAGGGAAGGGAAGGGGGAAGAGAAAAGGGGAGAGGGGAGGCAGAGAGATGGGAGAGAGATCAAAAGATGATGAAAACGATGAAAATGAGAGAGAAGGGTAGAGGGAGTCGAGAAAGGAAGGGAGGGAAGAATGCGGAGGGTATGGGAGAAAAAAACGCAATAATGAGAGAAAAACGCAGCGACAATAGTGGATTGAAAAACGAATATGGTTCTGAATGGATGGACAACGTTAGCCCGATTTAAATGCAAATACGTGCCACTTCGGTTAAAGCATTAAAGAGCTTGGTCCCGCGAAGCTTTTCCACACTTTGGAGAGCAGTGTTGCAGTTCTGCCTTGAGCGACGTGCTCCATTTTAAATGCTGAGTTGGACCGTGGTCTGAATTCTATTACTTGGATACATTATTTATAAACGTGAATAAATTCTTACATACATAAGGAGTCCCTATACAGATACGAAAACCGCAGCATTCCGTGCTCACCGGGTTGTATGTTCAGGTAACATCAATATTTTAAATGCCTTGCTTCGTGCACTAATTAGGTGACGTAGCAGGCCAAGCCCCCGCCGCTATGCGATCCGACCGTCAAAATCCACGTCAATGGCAGAATTTGGGGCGGAAGTTTAGCGTTCCGCAACATTGCGCACTGTCCGTCCTGCCTTTCGCCGTCACCTGACCTTTAACGCGATCGCTGCCGTTAACCGCAGGTCATACATATCAGGGATAAGAAACAAGCGCCTGAAGCGACTCGAACTCACCCCGCCACCGATGGGTAGACCGCAATATAGATACTCTTACCTACCTTCTGATCGACTGAGCTATTGGGACGGGCGGACAATATGACATGGTCGATTCTTACAGCTGTTATGTGGGCAGAACATGGAGCGCTGGGTATTTTGCTGGTTTAGTATAGGTGACAAGTTTCATTGGGGTTTGCTGTTGCTCGTTTAAATATTTATTTCTCAAAACTTTGTCAACGAAATCAACTCCATCTGGTTTGATTCCGAGAGCCGGTCACATCTTTCCTTGAGTCATCACAGGGGTCTCCAAATCTGTTTTGCTCGCCGGCAGAGCCGCAGCAGCCCATTACGCTGTTAGAGTCGGCACCGCTGGTCGTTTTGCTCGCCGGCAGAGCCGTAGCAGCCCATTACGCCGTTAGAGCTGGCACCGCCGCTTGGAGTCCAGCACAAATTGTACCCCGTTTGTGTCAAGCGGAATCCATTCTAATTTGGACCACCTCTTCCTAGGCCGAAATCGAAGTCGACGATAACCGGGCCGGGCTGCGCCGTCGTCCGCGGCGGTCTCGGTGGGCGGACCCTGTTTGTCGGCGCCGGAGCGCGACGGCGGCTTGTTTGTCCCGCTGCCGTGTCGAGCCTGCGTCCATCCTCGGGCCGCCGCGCCGTCGGCCAGCCACGCACGTGACTCAGCCGAGCCCCGGCCGCGTCTCCCCCAGTCTCGGCCCGGCTTGGCGCGGCTGGTCAGGTTCGGCTCGGTCTCCTGACGCTGGGTGCCCGTCAGGTCCGGCCCTGGACCGGTGCGCAACTGTCGGCGTTCAGCTCGGACTAATGTCATTGGACGTGAAAGTCCATTGCTTTCCGGCAGGCTTTTCCTCTTCGTAGCAGCGTGTGCAGACTGCAGTTGCTTGCACACGTTACCTGCCAATACCAGTATGCGATTGATTATTCGTTTTCATTTCGCCTGACTGCGGTGTCGACACCGCGAAGATCAAAGGGCTTCAGACTGGCGCTGGTTCCTCACGCGGAGCTGACCGTCACGCGTCCAGTTCGTCGACAGGTCACGGGTCGTCTGCCGTGCGCGCGGCGGCCCGTGCCGGCGTGCCGGGGCTCGTGTCAACGCGACGTCACTGGAGCTCTGCTCGCCCGGCCGTGCGGGCTGGTGACCCCGGCTGCGGGACGCGACACGGCTGGCGGCCGCGGCGGAGCCGGCCAGGCTGCGACGCACTCTGTCGAGCCCGCCCGCGGTCTGTGATTGAGTCATGCTCTGCCGGTCCGTGCTGCGCCGGCGGGCGGCGGCTGGGGCCGGGACCAGAAGCGCCCGCTGTTGCAGGGTCTGCTGCAGCCAGGAGGCGCGGCGCACCGAGATCTGCGGTCCTCCGTCGCTGTCGGTCCGCGATCGGTGTGGGCCGAGCGCCGGCGGCGGCCGACCGCCGGCGGCTGGTCGGCGAGCGGCGCCGCGCGCCGCACCGCCGTCTCATTATCCAGTGACGTCACGCGTGGCGGCTGCCGTGCCTTGGCCGCCCTGACCGCGCTTCTGGCTGTCGTGCTCTGACTGCGCTCTCGGCGTCCATTGTTAGCCACAGGCGGACTTTTACGGAGTGAGCGGTGTGGCATCGGCGGCAGAGCCGATGACATCGGCGGCAGAGCCGGCGGAGCTGTCAATGTTGGGGCAGAGCTGGCGCCGGACTCATCACTGTTGCGGCAAAGCCGGTGCTGGACCCACCACTATTGTGCCATAGCCGGTGCCACACTCGTCACTGCTGGGGCAAAGCCGGCGCCGCATCCGTCAATGTTGGGGCAGAGCCGCGGCCGGACCCATCACTGCTGGGGCAAAGCCGGCGCCGCACCCGTCACTGTTGGGCAGAGCCGGCGCCAGACCCGTCACTGTTGGGGTAGAGCCGGCGCCAGGACCCGTCACTGTAGGGGCAGAGCCGGCGTGGGATCCGTCACTGTTGGGGCAGAACCGATGCTGGGCCCATCACTATTGTGCCAGAGCCGGTGCCACACCCGTCACTGTTGTGCCACAGCCGGTGCCACACCCGTCACTGTTGTGCCAGAGCCGGTGCCACACTCGTCACTGTTGGGGCAGAGCCAGCGCCGGACCCGTCGCTGTTGGGGCAGACCGCCTCGGTCTCTGCAGGGGCGTCCGACCCCGGTGTAGGCCGCCTGGGCCGGCCGACCCCCTGGGGTCTGCTGTAGAACTGGTCATCCCGACTCGGGCTCGATCCCCGCGGTCGCGGAGGCGCCGACAGCTGGAGGCCCGACGGGCGATCTTGATGGCTACCATGCCGATGGGGCCAAAGCCCGGCGGGACCGGCCGACTTCACACGTACAGAGAGCATCCCACAGGCGTGTGTTTGGAAAGCTGTGAGCTGTGGTCGCGTGTATCCGATCAAACAAGGTGAAATGTACCAACGGTTCAATGCTTCTGCTATTCGGGCTTTTTCTGAAAGTCATAAATAGCGTTTACTATGTAATCGCCTGAAGTTGTATTGCCCAGAAAACATCGCAACTAAGGAACACCAACCCAGCCTCGCTCAGACCGATAAGTAATCCTCATTCCAAAAGCCGTTGCAGGGAGCCGGCTAGGTCACTATGGCGTGCAGCCTAATCACCGGCTGTCATCGTTAAGCGGGGGACGGGTGCAAACTTGGGCATTGTCGGCCCGTCGAGCGAGGTAATTCAGAGGATCCAGTTTGTCTTGTTTGATCCTCTTGCCACCAGTGAAGTCTACTGATTTGTGACTGGTTTTGGTAAAGAATCAGGTTTTCGTGGCTTATCCCCAGTGTCTCGCTGGGTGGATGTGCATGCTTTTGGCTTTTAAGTGCTCCGTTGAAGTGGTTTTGAGCACGCATGATTCTTTTTGAGACTTCACGAAGAGAACCAAACCAGGTTTTCATCAACGACCTTGTCTTCCAAGTGTTCACTTTGAACTCTTGACCGCACAATCAACTGGGACTCCAGACCACGTAGTCCCATGTCAACTCATCCAACTGGACGCAAATCAAGGGAACTTAAACACCGCTCCTCTGAACTATGTGGTTCTCGAGCACGTCTGTTGTAGGAACTCTCGGCGACTGAAGCCGCCCCTGGGGAGGATGCCATTAATATCAGCAACGCTGTTCGAAGCCGGCAGCTGTCTTCAGGTCTTGTCAGCTAACATACACATGCTGTCTTTAAGTGGCCTTGTTCTGGTTCAGCCAGCTCGACGAGGGTTTGGTGAAGCGTGTCTACAAAACGGATCGTCAGACATCGAAGTGTCAAGCCGCACGTGGGATCGTGAACCTCATGGTGCGGGAGCGCATACCCACGCCCCACACACGAACACACACGGGCCAGACCAAGCGGCCCGGTTCCCGCAAAGATACGTTCTGGTGCCACACGTGCGATTTTTTGTCTCATTGTGCTGGAGCATACGCCCACGCCCACACGCAGACACACACGGGCCAGACCAAGCGGCCCGGTTCCCACAGATATATGTTCTGGTGCGAGGGTGTAGGAGTCTCGCAGATGTGATGGGGATAAACGTCTTTCAGAAGTGAATCGCCACCATGGTGCGCCTCGGGCTGAGGCATTTCCAACTAAAGGTGGGCGGGCAGTGGGCCACCCTGCGGCTAATGGCCCACCCTGCGGCTAATGGCCCACCCGGCGGCTAATGGCCCACCCGGCGGCTAATGGT